CGCTGAGTGAGATCAAAAATTGTGTTTAAGTCTTGCTCATACTGTACAATCCGGTCGCTGACTACCGGACAACGCAACAGACAATCTCCATAAATCAGACGTGACGCGCGGTCGGGATATGATCGGTATAATGATAACAGGAGTCTGCCTCAGCGTGAACTGCTGGCAAGCTCGTCATCGTCTGGCAAATCCTTAATGACGTCTTTCAGGATTTGGATCAATTCGTCAATGTCCGGTCGATCTGCTGGTTCGACCTGCAAACACTTCCGAACGACATCTTTGACAGGCGCACTGATCGTTGTTGTAGCATCTTTGCGGGATTCATCGCCAGTTTTGCCCTTGCCTTTGCTGGCACCAGGTTTCTCATCAGGGAAACGCCAGTCTCCACCCAGGACGCACATACTTAGGCTACCACCGGTCTCCTCGCTACGTGCCTCAAAGGGGCTCTTGCCTACCAAGCAAGCGTAGAGAGTACACCCCAAAGACCAGATGTCGACTTTGGTGTCAATAATGGAGCCGGTCTTCACATCGAAAAGTTCCGGTGCTCGATATGGCATCGTACTATGCTCTGCAGCAGTATCTTGGACTGCCAAAGCAAGTGAACGCGAAGTGATAGCAATGGGGCTGGGGGCGAGTGACCCCAGATCCATCAGCACTGGTGTTTGTCCGTCATCATCGATCATGATGTTGCCTACTATTGTTAGCTATGTGACTTAGTCTGCGGGGTTGGTAACGGGAATTCTACCAGGCTTGATATCTCTATGTGCGTATGGGCGCAAACCTCCGTCTTGAACGCCTTCCTGACTCCTTGTGACCTCATCCTCCATCAATGGTTCGTTTTCGGAATCTTCGTCATCTGCTACCTGGGTTGCCCGGCGCTTAGGCTTGGGCATGCGCATGGAGGTATCTGCCTCTTCACCTTCCCTTCTTACTGCCTTAGCGTTGCGAGTAGACCCAGCACCGCTCTTGACACGATATTGATGCATGGCCCGGAGCGCAGTGGCGACACCCAGCATCAGCACCATCAATCGCTTCTCCGGAAATCGAGTATGGTTGACTAGGTTGGCATTGATGGCATCCTGCAGATTCCCTCGTTGATAGTAAGGTAGGAGGATATAAACAGTCTTGGACCCGGCTTCTCCACCATCGGAGCGGAACTTCGAGCCTGACTCGGTGGACACGGAGTGATCAATCGAATGGATGATATTGGATTGTGATGTGAACAGATTGTATGCCTCTACTTCTTTCAGTGCTTGAGAGACGGACTCCTGACCAAAGGGGCATCGGATCTTTTTCAGCGCAAACAGCTCCGAGGTTGCTTTGTCTTGAACTAGGTACACGTAGGAGAAACCACCCTAGCATTGAGTCAGTAGAAGCCCAATGGGCTAAGACTGGTTTGCCCCTTATATCTTACCTCGCCCAGTAGCCGGAGCATTTTAAAGCTGCGATTGTTGATCTTAAGCTGCGGCGTGCTGGGGAAGCAGCACATGCAATCGGTAAAGTTATACAGGAGGTCGAAGAAATATTGCGCCATTTTCGGTTGATCACACTCGTAACATCCAGCTGGACTGCCGAACCAATGCGCACTCAATATTCTGATCTGTTTATCGTGGTGATGAGTCGGCTCCACCGCAAGGCTAGCCGACCGTTTGAATGCGAGCGGAGATGGGGAAATGAAGAGGAGAATAGGTGCAGCAAGGGAGAGAAAGACCTGTATGCAGTCGGACGGTAAGGAAGGAAAGATCAGGAGATTATATGTTTTAAAATGAAACGCAAATTGAGGAGTTTACCTCTAATGGATGTGGTCGATCTTGTTTGATAGTACACTGCTGTGATTGAGAGTAAGCCAGAAATCAGCCAACTGATAATGATGAGGTGGAAGATATGATGAATAATAAGGCCGGGGGCGGCTGTAGTAGCCCGTGCAACCAGTACACCTCGTTACACCTACAGAACAGGCAGTATACAAAATATACATCGGCTTGAGATTTACCCTCATCAAAAAAGAAAGCTGTGACATTGTATATGTTCAATTCTACGGAGTATATTCCAAATGACACTATGCCAACAATGTAGCCAGAGAGTACTTCATTGAACAGGCTACTTTGGGGGAAATTGAGACTTATTGATAGAATACAACAATACCAGCCCTATATGAAGCCAGACGATGCAGCCCAGCAACTTGACCAAGGTACTCCGTATGTAGTTAGTAGTAGGATAATCTTCCATGTTGATGAAGTATAGTATGTACTCTGTACTAGTCAATGTTACCGGTCACGTTCATCGGACATTGAAAATCATGGGAGTCAACTGAACGCAGTAGGCGGTCTGAGTCAAGATCCCTGCACCCGGTTGCGTTGCCCGAGCAGGTGGTTGTTGTCTGTATGTACTAATGTCCGTATTGTATGTACAGTAATTGGCGGTATGGCCACTAAAACACTCACACATGAGTGGAGCACAAACCCATGGTTCGTTCGTGTGGTTGTTTATGTTTGCTACGATTATCATTGGAACCAACCCCTGGGATGCATGATGACAATTCCGGGGATGATTTGAAACAATTTGTTTTTTGCATTGACTCGAGAAAACCTGTGTGGCGATCGACTCAATTCTTTCTCCTTCGGTGGTCCCCTCGCTGCCCGACCAGAACAGGAAGAAACCAGCGCAGAAAATCCTCCGATCCTCCTAATTACTAGTTTGCCCAGACTATCAACACTATGACTGTCGGTCTATGATCAGTCACGCAGTTACCTCCGTCTTCGCAGCTTATCCCTTCCTTCGATATCGGACTTGTTTTCTACGCTGAGTCCCTTTCTTAGACCTCGAATGATTTAATATCCCGGTTGATACTCCCCCCTCATCCCCTCGGTCAAGGTCAACCATTTTCTCGACACCCTGATGGCGCCCCTCGACGACATCCAGGTCGGTGACCTGGTAAACGTTCCCGGGGGTATGTATGGTACTATAAAGTACCTGGGAGGGGTGGCTGGCAAACCAGGGAAATTTGCTGGCATTGAACTGGCAGCTGAGCATGCCAGACGAGGGAAGAACAGTGGAGATGTGGAAGGGAAGAAATACTTCACAACCTCCACCCCCGGCTCGGGCATCTTCGTTCCCATGAACAACAATAAGTACGTCACGAAACGTCTGTCAGCTCCTAGCATTCCAAGTGTAAACCCTCCGACTCCCTCCCGACCCGTCAACTTCAGCAAATCCGTCGGCCCAGGCCTGAGCCCCGCGGTTCGAACCCCCCGTCCTGTGAGGCGACCTTCACTTCCTCGAGCTGAATCCCCACGTGGCCCACCGCCCTCGAAACTGAGTCTCACTGGATTACGCACTCCGTCGGGGGCATCCAGAAGTTCGAATGGCCATCCACGGAGTCCAGTCAAGGCGCCGTCCCGCACTTCGACCAGCCGGCCGCCCTCTCGCCTGAGTGTAGACGATGATGCTCAATCTACGAGGTCCTCGGATCTTCAACGGAAGGCGATGGCTGCGGAGGTGCAGGAGCTGACGGACCAAGTTAGGAGTCTGGAGAAGCAGCTCCTGGACCGCGACAAACAGTTGGATGAACAGGCAAACACGTTATCCGAATTCCAGAGAATGCTGGAAGAGTTTGAGGGGTCGGATTCTCTTTCCATTCGTGCTCAATTGCGCGATAAAAATGAGAAGATTGCTCAGCTGACGACGGAGTTCGACCTCCATCGGGCCGATTTCAGGAGCACTTTGGATACCTTGGAAGTGGCTGCAGCCGAAACCGAGCGGGTATATGAACAACGCCTAGATGAACTAATGCAGCAAAACAAAGAGCTGCAGGATCGAGGAGAGGATGTTGAAGCCGTTGCAAGACAACTTAAGCAGCTGGAAGAGTTGGTCTCAGAATTGGAGGAGGGTCTGGAAGACGCGCGCCGTGGGGAAGCCGAGGCGCGAGCAGAAGTCGAATTCCTAAGGGGCGAGGTCGAGCGAACGAAGCTCGAGTTGAAGAAGGAGCGTGAAAGCTCTTCTCATGTCGTCGGGGATGGGCAACAGCATTCAAGAGAGCTTGACCAGAAAGATGATGAGATCCGCGGTTTGAAGGCTATTATCCATTCTTTAAGTCGGGGTGACCCCGATTTGCATGCACTTGAGCAGAATGAACTCGGGGATCCTCAACCGGAGTATGATTCGGAGCATGTAGCCCACTTGGAACGGCGGGTTGAAGAATTCGAACGCATGACGGAACGGAAGACTTTCCGTATTGAAGAACTTGAGCATGAGCTTCAGCAGTTACAACTCAATGGTGACAACCATCCTCGCAACCCCACCACCAATGGTTCACACACCTACCACAAATCTTCAAGCTCCGTTGGGAAGATCGGCGGTGAGCATACCATCAACCATGCTCATCGGTTATCTGACCGCACTGTGGTCCCAGGTGACTGGCATGATCAACCACAGCATGATGAACAATATCAGGCTTATCCTGGACGACTCCGCAGCACTTCAGAATCTTCCCATCAGCGGCTGGAGACTATGCATGAATCTGATGCCCGATCTGATGATGGCGCTTCCTTGTGGTGTGAGATATGCGAAACCGGTGGTCACGATATTCTGAGTTGCACCAATATGTTTGGCGCTGAGCAAAAGAACAAGAGCAACACCGATACCAAGGAGCCCTCTCAAGAGGACTCAACCGATGAAAAGTTCACACCAGAGACATCACCTGCTCCTGAGTCCGCACAATCCAATCATGAGTTCAGCACGACCCCTCAGAAAACCGGCCGAGATGTCGTTTTGGAAGGGTTGAAAGGAGTTGCGACAACATCTTCCATGGCTCCTGTGGCGGGCAAGGCGAGCGGAGCCGTTGACGAGTCGAAGTGGTGTGCACTCTGTGAAAGGGATGGCCATGAAAGCATCGACTGCCCATTTGATGATTAACGGGTTTAGCTGGTTGGAATGCTGGTGTACGAGGTATATGACCCAGGGATCAGTTTTTTCTGTGGCTTGATACGCTCCTCGCAACTGTGATGTGAGATGACATTCTTATCGGTTAGCGAGTCCGTTCCTGATTTATTTTTAATAATGGGTTGGACACATTTTCTTCTCTTGGATGCGCTATACACTGTATTATTCCGGGTCTTTTGTTTTATCCGCCCTTTCAGTTGCTATCCTGACTCTTTTATCATATACCAGCTTAGTTTGTGTGAACCTTACAGAGTACCCTGATCATATCTGTTCAACAGCATGTTCTCTTTCTATGGTCATATTTATTTCTTCGCAAGCGTCACTCGTTCTGGTATGTTTAATCATTTTGTATCTTCGTGTCTCTAGCCCCTTAGAGCTGGCCACTCTTACTTCCATTCGCTGTTTACATTCTGTTTCCTGGCATTCCTTTTACACGTGGCCAGTGTCGACCTAATCTAGACATATACATACATCTTCATCAGACTCTCTAGGCAGGCTGATGCCCCCTGCCCTTCCATTTACGGGTTCACCCCTCGCCGCCTTTTGCTTTGGGTAATCTTAGCAAAAACATACTATGCTATGGTTTGCCTGTGTCCTTTTTCTTTCTCGTACTTGTTATTATCATCGTGTTTTACCCACTCAACTAAGAAGAATGGCATCAACCATGTCGAAGCTGCTTTGACACGCATCGTCTAAGACAGGAGATTCAATTACCTAACTAGTAAACCAGGCCTAGATCAAATTACTCTATTGGATAAATCAATGTCCTTTGAAGATAACTCATACCCGATTAAATCAGCTTAGGTAGATGACAGGAACCATAATCGATCTATAATTGTGTGGTTCTGGGTAGTAACCACCCTATATATATATCACCTAACCGATTGAATCCTTGTTCAGGATTCAATTGTGATCCTTTTGGTCGAGCGGGTTAGGTGACTCCTAGTGGGAATCACAATTGATACGTTCCCTTTTATATAGCCAAACGCGTTTCGCTTATACCCTTCTGAATGGACCCGATATTCCTAACGAAACAAGGCATTGGCAATGCAGAGACCAAGGACAGGAGGGTTTCGACGCATCTCATAGTGGTGTATAGCAGCATGGCCACCTCTGCCAGCCACCCAATGGTTCCAGTATAGGGTGGCGAATTAGATTCCAGTCTATAGACGTCGAGTCTAAGGACTCGAAGAATTGCATCTTTCCTAGTTTCTGTGTCCGTCCTCTAGAGTTGTTATCGCCTACCACTCTGATTTCTACGTTCCGTTTGCCAGAAGGTTGCCCGTGGGCGTCCGCGGTTTTGCCACATATATTGACCATCGACTTGATCAGGAATGATGGTCTGGCCATCCAATTAGCTCGGAAGGATCTCCTTTCGGTCATATCAATTAGAATCTCCCGAAAGTGTGTAGATTTATTGCATCTTTAGGTGGTTTGTGTTCTGGGGTACTTTTCGCTTTAGGGGTAGACCTTGCTCCAGCCATAGACAACGATAAAGATATAGTTACTTGAGAATGTCCACTTCTATAGGTACATAGATAATCATTGAGCCCTCTGAATCCCTCTAGTATTCTCCTTTAGTCTATTACTAACATTCAATCACCAGCTTATAGGTAATCATCATCGTTATCATCATCATATATACCCCGTAAACTCTACATATTACATCGGTTATCAAGTTGCTCTGGGAATCATTCCAAAAATCGACTACTCAAGGAACCTGGGCGGCTGTACCAATTCCCCCTCTTGATACTTCGTTTCAGCAACAGTACCGCAAGCCTTGCACGTCCGCTTTTCCTGATCCGCGCCAAATTCTTCAACGACTTCTTTCACCTGCGTTCCCAAGTCCGTACACACAAAACGCTTCTCCCACACAATCTCTCCACAGTTCTTACAGTACCACCGCAGAATATCAACCGCACCTTCAGCTCTAGGTTGTTCCATCACAACACCCACAGTATCCTTGAACCGCACCGGACAGTGAGGCGTGTTGGCGGGTAGCAGGAACAGCGAACCCTCGTGGATGGGAATGTCTTGGAACACCGGGGGCGAAGCGGATGTATCGACAGTTCTGAGAAGCATTGAACCTCGATACTGGTAGAAGAACTCTGGGGTTGTATTAATGTGATAGTCCGTGCGGGCGTTGGGACCGCCCACGATCATCACTGTGTAGCCGGCTGTTGCCGGGGAGGAGGGGTGGTAGACACAATAGTTGTTTACTGGTGGTTGGAGAAGGTGAGAATTGGCCTCGAGCCTGTGGATGCATGGTCAGTCCAGTCATGGTATAATTATGTAGCTTCTATCAGGTCCTGTCGCATGTTGTGACGCATTGCGGGGGAGGGGCAACCATAAAAATATATATGGATGAGTATGGATTGAGAAAGTACCATTTGGGAATGTTTAAAGCCAGAGGAAGCATTTTGAGCAATTATTATATTAGCACTGTGCACTCTTCTCAATGTAAAAGACCGTCTCGCAAAAAATTCAGAGTAGTAGAGATCGGCGGAGGGGTGAAGGCGCATACATATCATGCGACATTGATAATCACGGTCGGAGATAAGCGTTTGGCTTAAGCCCGGACGTCATGGCGGAACATCATTTCCCCGACAGATTTTCTCCATTCGCTTTTTTTTTTTTTTTGTCGGCTCAAATGTATACAGCTTCTGATTGCGACATTGCTGGCCCACGACGGAGATACAGCGATTCTCCAATCAAGTAATCATGGCAACTTCACAACCCCCTCTCCGCTTTACCGGACATAAGAACTTTGTGTATCGCCTGGTTTTTGCAACCTTGACTGGCCGTACGGTGCATATCTCTCAGATCCGCCCTTCGTCTCCTACCAACCCTGGTCTTGCTCCGCATGAAATTTCCTTCCTTCGTCTTCTCGAGGCTGTCACCAATGGCTCCCAACTTGAAATTTCTTATACAGGAACAATTGTGGTCTATAAACCGGGTCTTATTACTGGAAGTGGTGCAGGTGCAGGCAGTGGTGGTGTGGTCAGACATGAGCTCCCAGCAGGTTGTAATCGCGGCGTGAGCTACTACCTTTTGCCTCTCTGTCTTTTAGCTCCATTCTCCAAGGCTCCTGTAAAGGTTCTTTTTACTGGCCCTGGTGTGATCACTTCATCTACGCCAACAGGTGATATGTCCGTGGACAGCGTGCGAACCGCGATTTTGCCGCTCTACAACCAATTCGGAATATTCAACAACATCGAACTCCGCATCCTACGAAGATCTAACCCTGGACATAATGGCAGAGGAGGTGGCGGAGAAGTTCAGCTGGTCTTCGGCCACCAAGTGCGTCTCCCGAAAACTCTTCATATGATGAACCCGGGTAGAATAAAGAAGATTCGTGGTGTGGCGTATGCCGTCGGTGTCTCAGCTTCCAACAACGCAAGAATGATCGAAACCGCTCGTGGTGTTCTCAACCCACTTGTACCGGATACTTACGTTTTTTCTGATGTCTCCTCCGCCCCGCTGATCCCTGCCCCGGAGAAGAGCAATCCTTCGGCTAAGAAGAAGATCGGCCTTGGATTCGGTTTGTCGCTGGTCGCAGAGTCCTCGACTGGTTGTCTCTTTTCTGCAGATGTGGCATCCCCGCCTTCAGGTGGCCAGGCTCCTGAGGATATTGGAAAGCAGTGCGCTTATCAGCTGCTTGAAACCATCTCGAAAGGTGGTTGTGTTGCTCCCGCAGCAGCAGCGACCATGCTGGGTCTTATGACAATGGGCTCAGAGGATGTTGGCCGGCTTCAACTTGGCCGTGATGTGATTGCTGACGAAGGTGTAATCCAGCTGGCGAGAGACTTAGCGACATTTGGCGCACCTGGTTGGGGTCTTAGAGATGCTGCTGGAGAAAATGAGCGTGGTGACGTCGTTGTCAGCGTGGTTGGAAGGGGTATCGGAAATGTTGGACGAAAGGTTGCTTGATTGCGCGCTCACGGTGCGAGCCTCACTTTTATTCGTGCAGCCATTCTGGTCAGCTGCCACAAGTTTACATTCATCGATAATTGGAGGTGCAATAGCCAGGTAACAGCCTTGTTTCAGAATTCGACCATTTGACAGCCGATCCACATGAAACCCGACCTTGGTACCCGAACAGCGTGGATCCTCGACGGCGTTTCACAATTCGTGATCGCAGGAAGGCCGATTACACGTCACTTTTTATCTCTACAAGTGCCTGACCTCGGTAGTCGGACGGTGGGATTTGAGATACCATGCGCTTCTTTTCACCGCTACCTTAGACCTCCGCCACGTGTCTAGGGTCACGCCAAGACAACAACTCTTTTCCACACCGCAGCCGGCGTTCTGACATTTTCGCTTCACATCCCCAAGAGATGTCGCCCCTTTGATGGGCCCTTGCAGTTTTATGAAACGCTTAGTTGTTGTTCTTCAATGATACCCACTTTTTTTCTGGTGCTTGGAATGTCCACCTCACCGCTGGGTGTCTACCCCATAGTGGGCATAGATCTCGCATTTTAGGGCTAGGAGTCTGTTGGGCTTTGATTCTGGTGATCATGAGTCACACCTCGTGGAGAAACTGTTCCTGAATCCCATGTATATAAACGGCATCAATGGAGATCTTAAGCTTTAACTTCCCCTGTTGTATTGTCTTTCACATGACTTGTCCAAGTCTATATAATTCACTATGTTTCCTATTCTTCTTTTCTTGATGTCTGCGCAATCGCCTCGAGTTAACCAACTTAAAAAGCAGCTCAGCAACGAACCGGAGATTTTGTCTCACCGATTACAGCGCAAGTCCGGCTGTCCATCTGCCTGACCACGACAAGAGAGCGATGCCCATGGAAGTTTAATTTTGGTCATTCCATAATTCTGTCACAGCCCGCTTGAAGGGGGGTTTATAAACCTCTCAATGCCTCATTTGATATAATCCGGACGCTTTCCACGCCATCAACCCAGAGTTAGCCGCCCCCTTTCCATCGGGTTTCTAGCCCTCCATTGTCAACCCCTCGAAATTCGAAGATATAATCGAGTGTATGATCCGTGAAGACAATGGAACCCTCGGTCACGTCCCGCCTGTGTTCGAGCCTCGGGGAACCTCGACGTCTATCTGGAAGCCGCGAGCTCAACATGCCCTGACTCGCTTCTTCCGTATTAGGAAATACGATCTCACCTAAGGAACTCACCACTACTACTAGTAGTATCGTCATTGAGTCATGACCGTGCCTGAACCTCAACGCCACCCCCTTGCTTTCCCTCTTCCCCTCCCCGCCCCTCTCCGTCCCCCACCTCGTCCCAACAACTGTTACTCTTCCACCCTTTTGCGTCTTTCACACATATGGCCTTAACATGGAGACTTACTAGGGAACAGTGTTTGTAAGTCTTCCTAGAGGTGCTCGCCATCATGCTCCTTTACTACTGATGAGGCAGGCCGACCGAACTTGACTCATGTTCCAAGTTAACTCACCGTCGTGGAGGTTTCGAGTTTCATCAAGCTGGCCTGCTGGTAAGTCTCATGGAGATGAGCGCCATTGCTGACGACGCCCTCTTCGGCTTATAGGCGACGGTGTGCTGCTTGCTTTGAATTGGATGGGACTCGGTCCTTTTATTTGCTCGACATTCTGCATGACTCGTTGATCACTCACCAGCCGAGATCTGAGCTGCCTCACCTCTCCCTGAGCATTATGCCTGGCACCGTGGGCAAGCCCAGTAAGTGACAGAGCTTGTATGCATACTACCTTCTCTCGATGCACTGTCCTTCGATACTGACAGCTGTTGTAGGCTGGCTAAAAAAAAAACTTCGCCCGCACCGCAGGCTAGCTCCCTACGGGGACATGCTCTTGTTCGTACACACCTCCCTTACTGCATCGGCAAATTTCTAACCAGGTTGCTAGGGGACAAACGCCAAATCAACCTCATGCTCATATGCGTCTTTCCACGACTGACTCCTGTCTCCTTCACTCTCCACCTGCCTGGCACCGCGGGCAGGTCCAGTAAGTGACAGAGCTTGTAAGGATATAACCTCCATTCTCTGGCACAACATGTATACTTATGTGACTTAGGCTGGCTAAAAAAAACCGCCCGCACGCCGGCATAGCCTCGCTATTACGGAGGCAGCGAGCAGGCAGACGCGACTACATCCTGATATGCCTTTACGACATTGAGCCATGACACGCCTTCGGTCACCAGAGAACAGCCCATCCTACTAGCTGCACCGTGGCAGGCCCAGTAAGTGACAGAGCTTGTAAGTGTGACCTACATCTAGTACTGGGTTCCTCTACTAACTGGGCTCTTAAGGCTGGCTAAAAAAAACTCCCCCGCCACACCGCAGTGAAGCAAAGATGACTGTCAGGGCTAGTAAGTTTGGTCTTCTTGCAAGCCAACTGCGTGTCTTACCAGTGACTCAGGGTTGTGGTCACTAAGACACCGTCTTGCACTGATGGCCTTCTCAACCTGTCCCACCACAACACCCTGTGTGTCCATCAATTCTGAGTACCGGTCACACTACTTGTGAACGAACCAACTCAGGTGGCCGGGGAAAGGAGTTGGATGATATGGCTGGGGGATGTTGACATATTCCTGCCTTAAGACTCTTTGTAATTAGTCCTCTGGTTGTACCTTTGGTGTTGTCATTCTCTTGCTTTTCCGGTCCTGGCCAAGGTTTTTTACCCATATAATGGGAAGTTTCCCTTGGCCTAGCGGGTACAACCGCAACCTGAATAGGGGGACTGGCTGTGATACCAATCAAATTCATTCAAATGACGAGCTACCATGTTGTAGGGGTGTAGATGCGACTATACTAATTAGCATGTTGTGGATTGCGATAGCAATTCCCTGCTCTTAGAGCTGCTACTCTAAGAGTCTATAGTCATAAAGCCGGAGAAGTGACAAATCTTATACGAAGTCAGACGACATGGAGTTTGGATTCTCCTGTCAAAACTTGCTTGGTTTTTGTTTAAGCTGACTTCGTCACTACGGACACCCCGACTGACGTCCTCTTTTTTCTCTCTCGCCCGAAAGCAATGACTTACCAGCTTCCGCATCTGCCCATTTATTACATCGGAGACGAGGTCCCGAGCGAAATTGTTACTGACAAAATCGGTGAAGCTCGCCAACAAGTCCATCCCCAGCCACCCAGAGCTTCAACAACGGCGAGTCCACCCTTTCCACCCACAGCAGCGAGTTATCCACTCTTTTGATGTCAATTAGCTTCGTGATTGTCGTCGCGTCACGAAAAGCTATCCAAGAATTACTCCACCCGCATCTCCGCAGAGAAGTCGCTATAAATAGTCGACGCGGATAAATTTAACCTTAGTATAGACGCCGCGTCCAAAACGGCGGATCCAATTACCAATTTACATCACTAATGTCTGGCTCTTGGTCTGTACATTTGTGATTTAATTGGTGCCGTGAGTGGATTTTGAGGTTGGGATGAGATGGCTGGGACGTGGATCCCGACAAGGAAGCGAGCTGGGCTGAGTTCTATGGCGGGTTCTTTATTAGGATGTGAGGTGAAGCTGTTAGTGGGTTGTGATGTCGTTTTGCTTATTGGTCTGGTCTGGGTTCAAAGGTGTAGTTTAAGCGTACACGGTTGAACGGTATTATTATTTTGAGGTTTTGGGAGATGGTAAGTCCTAGTAGAGTTGGAATTTAGGAATATGGGTGTGTAGTAAGTAAAATGATATGAACTTCAGTCATGGTTATTTATTTATTTATTTATTTGTCTTTTGTGCATTAATGTAGTTACTGAAGAAAATATAATAACTGTAGGATGTATGAGGTCCCAAAACGGTTCCAAACGTACAGGATGAAGTTGCTTCGTCCATGTTGTCTGAAGCATGTCCCAAAGAGGAAATCAGGGTCTCTCCACCGACGGAGTTTTCTTGAGTCGTTGGAATAGTTTTATGCTTAATAGCACGATTTAATTTAATATGTTTGAATAATAGGATTACTTGCTAGGATTGCAATGAACATGGGTGCGTTCACCGCATAGTTATATACTACTACACGCATACATCAGTCGCAGCACGAAAATTCATGCAGCAGATATTAGTCGATGTATCATATTGCCTTTCCCTCGTTCAACCATTCTTCCAGTTACCTATTCATTTGGCAGGTACGTATTCGATCCAAAATGCCCCAATACGGAAAATTGGTAACGATACTAGATATTTCCCTACTATGTAATACTTCTCAATTCGCCTACGATAAATCATTCAACTGCCAGCTCACTGGTTTATATTAGTCCTTCCGTAGAGAAAAGCTAGTAAATTATGAATAGTATCAACTAAATTAAGTGCCAATTCAGGTACAGCACCTGACAAAAAAAAAAAAAACCAAAAAAAATCTTCAGTTGGGTCCTGAGGAGGCTGGCAAATGAATGATGCATCGGGCAACAACCTAACGGCAGACTAAAATCCTTAGTGTCTTCGAGTCTACCATTCGCCTTCTCCCGACCCTCCGGACGAGCAAGCTGTCTGGTCCCCGCAGTGGCTCGCGTGAGGCTTTCGTCGCATCTTGAAAAAAAAAAGAGATGAGCTGTCCAACTGGATCTTGGACGATGGGGAAATCGGTCATAAAAACAGAGTATTGGTGAAGATGAGGAACCAAGTCTACAACGCTCGGGAACTATTCGAGTAGAGGACCCTCGATGCCACGATGCAGTCCCCTCTCTCTGTGCCCACTTTCCGTTGTGCATCGCATTTTTTTTTAACAAATGAGAGACACCGAAGGGCTGACTCACTTGCAGATGAGGAAATTCAGTGGCTGGTTTATGGTCTGCTTTGCGATAAGAGGGGAATTATCGCTGGCAATCGCGACAATGTTGGCGGTCAATCCACCCTCCGAAACCCCCTCATGGATGCACACGTAGCAGACTATCCTTGACCCAGTTGGGGCCGGTGTCGAAATTTTTTTTTTCTTCTTCCCTTGACCTTTTTGCGCCTAGGGTTGTAATGCGATGGAATAAGAAGGCGCATTGCTAAGCGCAAGTGTAACGGTCAGGGTGCGCAGGGCAGTTTGGTATATATAGACTATATCATTAGTGAAAGCTCTTGGAATTTTTGAACATCAACTGCGTGGGAGTCTTACGCTCTCTTTCCTCTCTTCTACTCTTGGATTTTCTTTATCTCGTTCTGCTCTTGTTGTATAGTCTTTTCTCTTCGGGTATAGAAAAGTCATAGTCAGCGTCCATGGATAACTACCGGGATTACAGCAGGTGAGTTGACTATTGGGACATCATCAGACGAACAATTGTCGCATTTTGTTTGCGTCCTTTCTTCTTTTCTTCCGTTCCTTGTATCATAACCAAGAGCGCAAATTTTCGTTATGCCAACCATGACAGCATTGCCACTGACCCTCCGAGTTTCTCATTGGGATACAGTATCGTCCATTCACCGCCATTCACTTTTCTGGTCGGCGCCAACCACACCAAGTTAACCGTTCAATCGGGACTCGCCCGTCATGTTTCCCAGCCGTTGGATCACTTGATGAACAGTGGGGAGACCCGCGAATCAAAACATCATATCGCCGTCTTGGAGGAGGAAGATGTTGAGACCTTTGTCGCCTTCTGCGAGTATGCCTATACCGGTGACTACAGCGTTCCCGGTCCGGACAATCGAGAGGAATATCAAGAACAGGTTGTGAACAACCCATTCAAGGGTGTGTTCTCTGGAGAGCCTGTATTGGCGCAACCTGACCCCAAACCCAGCGACGAGGTCGACAAGGGGCAGAGCAAGCCAAGTGAGGAAGCCCAGCCACAACCGCAGGAACAGGCGCCGCCGACTCCAGAGCCAGAGAATCCTCTGGAGGAGAACAAGACGCCAGAGGAGTCCTTAGAATCTCCAGTTGAGCCACCACAGGAACCCGAGCCTGTCCCTGAGCCTGTTCCCGAAGAGCCAGTTGAGCAGCCTCCTGCGACTCCCGCTGTCGAAGAAGGCGAACCTGCAGACGCCAATGAAGGCGCAGGTTCCGGCAAAGGCAAGAAGGGAAAGAAAAACAAGAAGGACAAGAAGAAGAAGGGTGCTGCCGCCGCGGAAGAGCCCACGACGACCAACTTGACTCCTCCCTCCACGCCTCCGCCTCAGAAACCGGAAGAGGTCGAGAACCCTCCTGCTGATGAAACACCTGCCGCAGTTGAGGAATGGAACCAGCCTCAGGAGTCTATGGAAGCTCCAGCTGAAGCAGAGGCCGCCCAACCGGCTGAGCCTGTTCAGACCGAGGTTGACACCTGGGAGCAATCTGCTCCCACGCCGCAGGAACCTGAAACCGTCGAGCCTGAAAGAACGGAGATGAAGGCCGAGACTAAGGAGGAAGAGAAAGTCACAGAGGAACTGAAACCATCCCACTTCCGGACCAACTCCTTCATCGACATGTCATTTGCTAGGCAGCGGTTCAACTTTCAGCACGATTCGGGCACCAACCTGTGGGATGAATTTGCGGCCATGGACTATCACGACCCTCGACAGACCCACGGAAACAGACCGCCAAGCTCACTGTCGTACTCGGCATCGACCAAGGGTGACCTTCCGTATCTTGTTTTCCATGCCAAGCTGTATGTCTTCGCCACGCGCTTCTTGATACCTGCCCTTGCCCAATTATGTCTCCGGAAGCTCCATACGGATCTCCTGAACCTAGGATTCCCCGAACATCCAATGGACTCCCAGGATGAGGAGTCATTTGCTTTAGCGACCACTAAAGCCAGAATGATCCTCGACCTCCTCGACTATACCTACAACAAGACCACCCGTCTCGAGCCTATCTCCGCTATCTCAGCCACTCAGCTTCGCGACAACGAGCTTCGGAGATTGGTTGTACACTATGCAGCTTGCAAGATCCGGGACCTCGCGGAATTCTGTCCTCCCGAGGAAAATACTGCGGGCATGCCTTACCCACATAAGCGTTCGGCCAAGGGCTTGCGTCCCCTCCTGGACACTACCACCGAGCTTGCATCGGATCTGGTGTACCGCATGATGTGGTGAAATGATTGATATGATATGACTTATGTTTCTTTTCTGTTTCATGATTATTGAACTCTCTTTCTGTTAGCTATTTCTTTTGTCTTCTTTCTCGTTTTTCTCATCCGACATGTATATCAAAGCGCACACAACGCACAGACACAGACCAAACACAGAGACGACCTTTACGTATATGATTGACTTGGAGTATGAATAATGCCAGATGTGGATTGTCTCGGAACAACTGGGACGGTGGAGTCTTCTTGAACCTTGTGCTATGTTTACTCATCCTTCCGCCTGTGACGAATTTCCTTGCGTGATCCAACATTGAACGATAATTTGTTGAAAGCCTTCCGTCCTAGACGATCATAGATAAATTCTACGTTACTGTTACATTGGGTCCCCACTCCGCCAAGGGAGCATCGACCTTTCTTCAATGTCTTATTGATCAGGCCTAATACCGTCTGAAGGTTGCTTCCGTTTCACAAGAAAGACGGGAAGGTTTAGACTGTCGGTGTCCGTCTTGGATGCATCGGTTCCGTTTCGTTCTACCTCCCCCATCTGGACATATGCGCCTTCATTCTCAATCCTTCCGCTTACTGATCCGAAAGCGTGAGATTAGATTGGGTGTCCTAGGCCAGATTAATCTGCAGCGGGATCGGTGGTGATCACCTCTTCTGACATGTTTCCCATCAAACCATCCCTGTTAATACCTTCATGTCTGATCGTGTTTTAGGAATAATCCGGCAAAAATATCGAGGAGGAGGTAAGGGTTCTGGAGTTAGCGCACAATGACCTCGAACAACAGACCTATCGCTGCATGACAAGACCCTCAAGGAATCCCATTCGAGTATCTGCAGCTACGCCAGACCAGATGCAAGGCGGGCCCCTCTTTGCTGCAGGTTATATTAAAAAGCGCGCATTCACAGGAAAATAGGACCCATCAAACAAACGAGGACCCGTATATTTAGCCGCGATAAGAGATGACCGAAAAGCCAGCCGAGTAATTCGCAGCGGAGGAAGAAAGTGCTGTTTTCTGAGAATTGATACAGAGTGCATTGAGTCCAAGAGTTGGGGATGTGACGGGCCGAAGAAGTCAACCACGTCTCTCTGGCGACTGGTACAACGCCAAGAACAGTCGGATTTTGGAGTCCAGAGGTTGGCTAGGTCTTTTGCTTTTTTCTTTTTTTTTTCACGATTGCCGAAAAACCCGTCGAATGCTTTCTCTCGTCTTTAGGCGGAAGGACTGGCCAGGGGGGAATGGTGGGGACGATGATCTACCTGTGCTCTTCTTGGCTGCCAGTGTTGCTTGATCTTGGCGGGTGCATGTCTGTGCCACCGCGTTCCTCGGTAAGAGTCGATAGGCTCGATACAGAAGACGGATCAAAGATGGAAAGGAAGGACCATCTGGGAGTGGGGGAGGAGGAGGAGGAGGAGGAGGAGGCGGAGCGCACTGGGGTATGGGTTCATCGATTTGAGGGGGGGTTCAACGTCCCGGCAGAGTTCTACTCCGCAAGCGAACGGGGAGGAGAGTGGGATTTCAAATGAACTATTCTATAGCGGTTGATCATTCTTCCTGGCCTCTTTTGATTGTGCCTCCTTCTGATCTACTCCGGGTTTACAATTAGAAAAGGGGAGCTCGGTAATGCTGACGAATTAGTCTATCATCACTGCCTCTCTTGGCTGTTCAATAGTACTATTTTTACATGGATGTCAAGTGTAGATCATGAAAAGGCAGCAACAATTCACTCCAGATCAGAAAGAATGTGAGAGAAAAAAAAAAAAGTAAAGGACAAGGCAAGATAAGGGCTGTACGGTGTACGCATCATCCATCGTTCATAATTCCAAATGCTGAAACACAATTGGGTTGTGCCGTCGGATAGTCACATTATTGAGGTTCAGTTACGTCCGTTGCCCTAATAGTTGGATATCTTTGCCAAGAAACTCCTGCCAAGGCTCGAGACTCTTTCCATTCCTCATTGCGTCTGACGCTTCAACTGACGGTTCATCTCGGTCATCCTGCATTCTTGTCCAACACTGTGTGCTTGACCTGCCATGGCAGGTCATGGACGATCAGTGTCATCCATGTATCATCGTCATTCCGAAGTATACAGACAGGCAGGCAGACAGACAGACAGACAGACAGACAGAATATGGAGAAGAGGGCAAAGTGGAATTCCTCAATGGAAGGAATACATCACATTCCCCGTGGTTTCTGTTATCTATATGAATGATTAATTATCTCCTTTTTTTTTTAAACATAATCTAACATCCCTAAACTTTAACTCTAAAATCCGCTCTCCCCTTTTTTTTGTCATAATTTTATTTTTGTGCCCTTATCTTTCGTCCATAGCCACACTGAGCTTGGCAGTGGACCTCCCGTCGGTGATGTGCTGTCGATCTTAGTCTTGGCCACTCTCAGTCCATGGGCGAGACGCTGTTCGATGATGCCTATCGCCGCGCACGTTGAGAATCTTCTTCTTCTTCCCAGACGTTCCGTGACATGGGAGGTACCTGATTCGGTGATCGAATGGTTCAATGGTCATGATGGGGTTCCACTCACTCTGCAGGCATTGTGGCAGTCGTCTTACATAGTCTCGCCACTCCTTTTTTTTTTTTTTTTTTTTTTTTGGCGCTGTGTCTTAGCAAAGGATCCCTGCAATTCGGGCCGAAAAAGACGGACTTCGGCTTGTCTGAGAAGGAGCGCATGAGAAGCCGACACTGTCAGACAAGCCGTTAAATTCGTGTTCGGCTGGGAATTAAAGAGCAATAGATCTAATTTCCTCAACCGATATCGTAAACAGTTAACCAGATGGAGAATTGTATGGAAAATCAATTCTGGGAACCAAAAATAAAAAGAAAAATAAATAAATAAAAAAACGTCTGCCTTATAGATAGCAGTAGAAAGTATAGGAGATGTGACACTCGCTAAACAAATGCACTGACACAGCCAACAAGCACACGGATTGGATCGGAAAGTGTTTTACAATCAGTCCTTTTTTTTTTTTTTTTTTCATTTCTTTCGTTTTTCTTGTTTGCCTGGGGTGGATACTAATGATTTAATTCCTATTGATATCTAAGGCATGCATTGCATAGTCGTTGACGTTGTTGGAACTTGTTTCTACGCGGATGACCCACTGGAACTATATCCTCTTCTAGCCTTGGCGGATCAGAATGAAGACGCTATCCACCGAAGATCATGAACCATTCTGGTCGTTCTCTGTTCTTCTCCTAGCCATCGCTGGCTTGAGTTCAATGCCGAGACCTTACGCCATGGTCCCTCTGCCTCCTTTGCAATAATGCAATGGGCCCCTGATATGCGCCAAACCTGAACTCTTCCTATTCCTTCCGGCCCGCAGTGGGCTCTGTATCCCTTTTCTGGGACGACAAGAGTTTAGGAAAGCGGGTTTCGTCGTCTCTAAGCCAACCATGTTGATATGGATCTGTTTTCTATTTCTTGGCCCTGCATTCCTCAGTATCGACTATGGGCGACGATGAACATCAGCCTGAAGTTAATGATGCCCTATCATCCACAGCATGTGCAGAGGATGCCAGCACTGTTCTTATATCTAGACCGTCCCATAGCTGTAGCGTCTGGTTCGATAGATCTCGATTCTCTTCCATTGACTGCTTTCCACGCCATTCAAAGCGTTGTCCTGTTCATAATCTATTCACTTTCTTTTTCTGTCCAGCTGCATTGCATTGCATTGCATACCTTCATACTTTCATTCATCTTGGTTTAGCCCGAAGCGTCTGATCCGTCAAGGGATTTTACCTGCAGTAGCTCTTTCGCCGTTCTTTTGGTTCCTTGCACTCATTCTCCCATCATACATCGAGATATATAAGTGTGTGAGAATTCCACTACAAGTACAATTGGAACATCACTGCCAGACAGTCTATCCTATACACAACTATCCCTTGTTCATTCTCTTCTCTTATCTTCTCTATCCTTCCCCTCAGCGTCACACCACACTGCCTCTTCATAGAGTCATACCACTGTTGCTTATCTCTTTTCATATCGTACCACTCCACCATAGACTCTTCCTTTGTCTTATAAGCTTCGCGCCAAGAGCACCATGTTCAACACCGAACACTACATACCACCGGGCTCATCTCATTCAGACGTCGAAATGTTAACACCTCCGAAGATTGAGGATGAGAAGAAGCTTAGCCCGGTGGGTATCCGGGAGAGGCTTCGTCATTTCACCTGGGCCTGGTACACCTTAACCATGAGTGGAGGAGGGCTGGCCGTCCTCATCATCAGTCAGCCCTTTGGGTTCCGCGGATTGAAAGAGATCGGCATCGCAGTCTACATCCTCAATCTGATCCTCTTCGCCCTTGTCTGCTCTACTATGGCTCTAAGGTTCATCCTGCACGGCAACCTTCTCGAGTCCCTCCGCCATGACCGCGAGGGTCTCTTCTTTCCGACCTTCTGGCTCTCTGTCGCAACCATCATCTGCGGCTTGTCTCGCTACTTCGGTGAAGAACCTAGTGAATCCTTCCAACTAGCCCTCGAAGCCCTCTTCTGGATCTACTGTTTCTGCACCTTGCTCGTCGCTATCATACAATACTCCTTCGTCTTCTCTTCCCACAAGTATGGCCTTCAAACCATGATGCCTTCATGGATCCTCCCAGCCTTCCCCATCATGCTCAGCGGCACCATCGCCTCCGTCATCGGTGAACAACAGCCCGCTCGCGCAGCCCTCCCCATCATCGGCGCCGGTGTCACCTTTCAGGGCCTCGGCTTCTCCATCAGCTTCATGATGTACGCCCACTACATCGGCCGACTGATGGAGTCCGGGCTCCCTCACAGCGACCACAGACCAGGCATGTTCATCTGCGTCGGACCCCCAGCCTTCACAGCCCTAGCCCTCGTCGGCATGACCAAAGGCCTCCCCGAAGACTTCAAGCTGCTACACGACGCCCACGCCTTGGAAGACGGACGTATCATTGAGCTGTTGGCCATCTCAGCCGGCGTCTTCCTCTGGGCCCTGAGTCTCTGGTTCTTCTGCATCGCCATCGTTGCCGTCATCCGCTCGCCGCCCAAGGCCTTCCACCTCAACTGGTGGGCCATGGTCTTCCCCAATACCGGCTTCACCCTGGCCACCATCACCCTAGGCAAAGCACTCAACAGTAACGGCGTGAAGGGCGTCGGATCCGCCATGTCCATCTGCATCGTGTGCATGTACATCTTCGTCTTCATCAACAACGTCCGCGCCGTGATCAACAAGGATATCATGTACCCGGGTAAAGATGAGGATGTATCTGACTAGACCGCACCCTCCATTCTTCCTACCTTACCCCCCTTACGTCCATACAACCATCCCACATGTCCATACATTTACATATACAATTCCCCCTCCTCCTCTTCACCCTCCCCCATCTATCCAGTTTAGATGTTACTTCCATTCATCAGCCTCCCACTTTCTATATACCCCCTTCACCATCATGCTCTTGTCAATTTCTAGCTGGCATCACACGGCGTTACTCCATTCGGTATATATATAGCGTTGATTTCATGGTCCTGTTAGCACTCTATTTCTGTTCCTGTTTCTGTTGCTGTTTTATTTCCCATCTTCTCCTTTCCTTTCCAGCCTTCCCACCATAGACATCGGTATAGATATCATAGAACAGAAGAAGGGAAAAAAAAAAAAGTCACTTATATGGTACATAATCAACTCCCCCAAAGTAATGAGTACAGTAAAAGTAGCAAGAAAGTACAGACCCACGATAAAAATCCAACCAAGAAGTTCCTAAGTGCCAACACCCTTGTTTCAGATCCATATTAATCCATATAAGCCCATAGAATCCCATAGAATCAACCCATTATTTCCCTAGATATAACCCAAACTATAGTACAAACCGGATGACCTCGTCCTACTACACTCAGTAGGTGGGGAAGGAACCTTTTCAGTTGGAATGGATTATGGATTACCGGGATAGAAAAGGTTTTATTGGTTTTTGGCGGGGAGTAGGAACCTACAGTATGTACTGTATATGGAGTATGATGTAGAGTACTAAAGTAATAAATTGGATTTAGGTCATTAGATACTAGATATTAATTCCGAGCTGGGTAAGGAGGTTTGCTCCGAGACACATACTAGTTTGTTTAGGGTGGTGTTTTGCCATTTGGTAGATTGGACTGGGGACTTCATGTTTGATGTATGTTGGCCGTTTTGGTGTTCCGGGATCATATGTACCTTAAGAGTGGGTCTTGGGTGATTTAATGTCTTTAACTATATTTCATGAATTCTACTGAGGTTTGTAAGTTGTTTGGTGGTTTCGTTTAGGTCCTGGGATGGGGAGGTAGTACTTGGTTTGTGGTGGTTTTATATATATTGGGATTGTAGTGTATGCTATATGTCCGAGTTATAATATTATGATGGGTTTTGGTTTCCAATTAACTGGGCTTGAGAAGAGATGATTTATATGATATCCAACTGTGCTCTTTAATAGCTCAACATGGAAGCATAGCACACTTCTATAGTATGAGGGTATTTACGTCGACAGGCGTTGTATCGTACACAGTAGTTTAGACATGACAGGTCGTGGCCACATCCAGTAACTAGGAATCCAATCCAAATGGGTCGATAATCCAAAAACACGAGTAGAAACCTAGTGCACTAGTCTAATCTCAGTAAGACCGGGCTCCCACTCCTTCAACCCCTGCGCAATATTATACCAGAAGCGTAGGCGCACGCATTCCTGTCGTGCGGACTCCAGATCGCCTGTGTCGAAGGCGTTCGCTAGCTTCTCCACACAGTCTACAACACGGGCCTCGTTCTGCTTCTTCAGCTCAGCGATCGTGGACTCGGCACCTGGTTCGGCGCCAACTTCTTCGATCGTCTCCTGCACCTCCATTACTTCCATCAGTGTCTCCGGGTCGAGCGCATGGTGCGCGGCGCCATCCTCGGCTGTGACGTCGATGTCATGCATCTCGCGGAGGAGGTACTGCGCGCGTGCGAGCGGATCGGACAGCGTGCGGTAGGCTTCGTTGATGCGGGCCGAGAGGGCCTCTGCTTGTTGTTTCGATGGACCCGGGGGGTACTTGTCCGGGTGGATTGTGCCCTGGAGCTGGAGAAACTCGCGTCGCAGGTCACTGACGGAGATGTGGAAGGGAGACTTCGGGGGTGGCCCTGCTGGGAGGGTTTTGGGGAAGATAGTGTAGTGGTTCGTGATGTCCGGGATGTTTTGGACAGTGCCGTTGTTATCGGTTGTGGTAGCATTGGGGGAGGCAGATGTGGAAGCGAAGCGATGGGGCTGCTGGATATGATGAATGCGTGGTACGCGAGCGGTACTTTGGGGTCTGAACTGGCAAAGGAGGCATGTCCCTGGTCTTTGGTCGAGGAATGAAGGCCGGGTTCCTGATGTTGCTCGGGAGGTTGCAGAGAGCCGCGGTAGCAGTCTCTGAGGGCGAAGGGAGGCAGTCATCTTCTCTTAATTTGCCCGATTCAGGTTCCAAGTTGCTCTGAAAATGACAGTTATGTGTAGTCTGTACGAGTAATAGTTGTAGATTACACGAGGAGAAAATCCTCGGACTGAGTTGGGGAATTGATGCTTATCGGGCAAACCTAATATAGGGCCGGTTAGTCAGCATGGGGTTCCGGCCTTCGGAGAAAACGGAGTGAGTTCCGGCAATTTACGTCATAGTCCGAGAGCTTACTTTTGATATTCATTGGATTTCTCAGGGTACAGCTGTTGGTGGCTAAAGTAAATAGAAGTTCCGTAGACGGCATCGGTTCGTGGTTCGCGAGATCGGCCATTTTTATAACAATATTTGTATAATCGTAGATAATTCCCAACTCTCTGGGTACTAGACAAGCGAAGCTCCTATATTCAGGTATGGAGCAATCGACTACCTAGACTTTGAAGTAGTGACCTGTAATACAGGGTCATAGACTGGGCAAACTGACCCCGTTATTATATTGTAGCATATTCGGTTATCCTAGCCGTCGATACCCCAAAGCTTGACTGTGCGGTCGTGTCCGCAACTAGCGATCCACTGCGCATCATCGCTGATATCGGTACTCAGCACATTGCCTGAATGGCCACTCAGGCTTTTCACCAATGACCAGTCGTCCGCACTGAAAACATTCACATTCTTATCGAATCCACTGCTCACAAAGAAAGTGCCCGACTTCCTTGGCTGTACAGGTGTCGACTGTGGGGGTTGATCGCCGTCCACATCCATCCGGCCATTCTGCACATCGGTAGACGGTAAGTAGGAGCTGGTAGATTCTGTTCCTTTATACCACCGAAGGTCAGACACGACACTTTTATGCGCACCGATCCCACCGGTATTCCGAACTTGACGCAAGTCCCAGCACTTTACCCAGCCGTCGCCTGAGCCGGTCAGGACACGGTACCCATCCACACCCCAGTCACAACCGTAGATTTCACGGATATGGCCTTCAAGGATCATCACAGTCCGGCCTGTCCGAAGATCCCAAATACGTCCAATGCTGTCGAGTCCTCCACTGGCCAAAAGAGAACCATCATTGTTGAAAGATACAGTGTAGACCTCCCGAGAATGACCTTCCTGGAGCAAGAGTTCCGCGGTCGTCTCGACATCCCATAACCGCCAAGTTGTGTCATAGGATGCGGATGCCACATATCTCCCGGACGGATGGAATTCCGTTCGGCATACACGACCACTGTGGCCTGACAGTGTAGCTATCGGTTGATCCTGATCCAGCGACCAGAGACACACATTTCCCTCGCCACCTCCAGAAACGAGGTTGACGGTCGATTCGGAAACATTGGACGTCGACAGTGTAGCACCTGGGAACCATGACAGGCCACCTACCCGATCTGTATGTGCCTTAAATGACCGTTTCTCCTCCAGGTTTGGCACCGTAAGCAGCTTAATCCCACCACCCCAGTTACCTGTAGCGATGGTCTGCCCATCTGGCGCAAAGCGACAGATGCTGACTGGACGATCACCTGCAATCTGTGAACCGTAAAGATCAAACCCATGTAACTTCTCCTTAACCGCTTTACGGTGCTTAATGTGCGTTCGGAGTGGAATAGTCGATTCTTCTCTCTGTCGGGCGACGCGCTGCTTTGCACGAGGAAGGGAGAACCGTGCGATCGCTTTTCGTGCCTCCAACAGATCTTGGGAACCCTCAGTGTAAAACTCCTCCTGCTGCTCTGCTTCCTCCTCCTCAGCCTCTTCTGTCGCTTCTCTCATATCCACATCTCCTTCTGCTGCCGCCGCATCCTGTTGCTCGGCGAGATCGGTTAAGAGTTCCCGTAGTCGATCTCTCCGGTCCGCGGGACCTTCACCAAATAGAGTGATGGGTTCCCCAAGCTCTCGTAATCGTGCGCGTACTCGACTATCATCGGTGGGGACCACCATAGCAGCAGCTCTCCGTTTGCGTTCGAATTGGGATAGAATGGCGGACGCCCTCTCGGAGGGGATGCCCGCCGCAGCGGAGGGGATATCATAATCGCGGTCAACAGCTACATGGGATAGATCAGTTAGTGAAACTCGGGTAAAATACATATGATGGTTAACTTGGCCGGAGAGGTAGGAGGGGGATTATCTTACGCAGATTGGCCAGATCAATGCCCATATCGGTGTCCTATGAGCAAAGTCATTGAATGTCAGTGAATCTCATTAAAGGGAAAAGCCTTGTAAACGCGTTGCGATCATATGTTACCATTCCAAGGCCCATGGAATACAGGATCGATGAACAAAAGGGTAGGTCTTACCTCCGCCTCCTCCACATACGCCTGTCTGGATGGGTGCATCATCGTGGGCAATATAGTCGCGGGCGTCGATCAGACTCCCCAGCACCTTTTCAACAAGTCGGACGGATTGATTCAGGTGATTATATACCGCAAGGCACGGCGGCGGAATGTTTAAAGGGAGTGAGAGGTTTGGAGGAAAGGTGTGGGTTAGTGGGAGTTCGGACGGAGGAATTCCCTTTTTCTCTTGAAATTTTGAAGGTGACGCGAAAGGAAGCGGCAAGACGAGGAGAAAATGAATGGCGAGTGAACATACACACCACAACAACGTCATAACATCGCAGTTTCCATATCTCTAATGTATTCGACTACATGTTGCTGCAATCTACAGAAATTCTCTATACGGCACTGTCGCCATGTCTGTCTTTGATGAACGCTCGAGTTACGCCTATCGACCCGTTTATCACCTTATGATCTAGACAGACTCAATCGGTATTGTCAATCCTCTCTTTTTATTCCTTTTACTCCAACACGTGGGCAATGCAGAGGCTTTAGTCGGCTAACCACGGAGATCTCCAGTCGCGAAACATTCAAATCAGAATTAAACGACCTATCCCAACGGTGGCATCGGTCACTCCACTTAAAGAATGGAGGCGGTCGATTGATGACGACAGGCGGTCGGCAATCCATTATTTATAATTTGAAAAACGGTGTGCCGAATCCCAGCGTTCAAAACCCCCTCGCGAGAGATCAAACACGACCGCGATTCTCGTCCTTCCGCTATATATATACCGATCGCTGTCTCTAGATTCATTGCTTGGCTCAGCGGGAGGGTCTGTTCGCTCTCTTTCACGGCACGACAGGCCCTCTAAGAGCCTGGACAGTGCGAGGGGACGTTCTGTTGTATGTTCCCAACGGACGGGTCAAAGGAAAATTCCCTATCGCTCTTTTGCGAGGGTTTGAATCGCGTTACTTAGCGCCTTTCGGCGACAATCTGGTCACTGCCGATGATCCCTCTGGTTTTTCTCCGTAGAGCCTGCAGTCCAACCTGCAGTAGCCTACAACCCGTCACGAGAAATAGGCTCTTGGCCTCGTTCTCGACCAGCACGCCATGGCCCCGATCCTCTCCGATATCATCCTCATCTCCTCCGCCCCGACGATCCTTCCACTCGACGCAGTCGCTTGACTCCAAATCCCCGCGCATCTCATACCGCGTTGCCGCTTCATCATCCGGCAAAGGCCGTCGTTTCCATCCCGCCAAGAACACGTCCGACTTTGATCCCCACCGTCACCATGCTATAGGGGTGGCCATAGATGTGAAGAGTCCGGCCATTCGGCGCCAGCGGAGGCCCGATAGTGGAGAGGACGCATTCTTCGTGAGCAGGGTCGGCGAACACAACAACGGGGCGGTCGCCTTTGCCGTCGCAGACGGGGTAGGAGGCTGGGCGGAGTCTCGAGTCGATCCCGCGGACTTCTCACATGCGCTGTGTGGGTATATGGCGCAATCCGCCCTTGACTGGGATGCTCCGGCGGAACAATTGCGTGCAAAGGGCCTCCTTCAAGCCGGCTACGATCAAGTTGTTGCTGATGAATCGATTCGCGCCGGCGGCTGCACCGCCTCGGTGGGTGTCGGGTTGGACGATGGACGGGTTGAACTGGCAAATCTAGGTGATTCAGGCTCAGTCCTTCTCCGTCTTGCTGCCGTACATCACTACTCGATCCCGCAAACCCACGGCTTCAACACGCCCTACCAGCTTAGTATTATCCCCCCGCGGATGCGCACGCAAGCGTCTATTTTCGGTGGCGCCTTCCTCGAAGATTTCCCGCGCGACGCGGCCGTCACCAACCTCCACATGCAGCATGGCGACGTACTCATCCTTGCAACAGACGGCGTCTTTGACAACCTCAATAACCAGGACATCCTCAAGCTCATAACCAGCCGGATGGTTCTGACAGGCGCCTGGACCGCCACACCCGACGTTGGAATCAAACCCTCTGTCGATCTCGACCAACTTACTGGTCCTGAGGGCCTTGCCTCCCTCATCCCATCATCATCCACCCAAACTTCCCAACACCACCGCTCCACAAATAAGAGCCACCTATGCAGCCTTCCATCCCTCCTCGCCGCCACCATTGCCGGTGAAGCCAAGTTGGCCAGCGTGGATATGCGCCGCGACGGACCCTTCGCCAAAGAAGCTCAACGATATTACCCCGGCGACTGGTACCGTGGCGGGAAGGTGGATGATATTGCTGTCTTAGCTGTGGTGGCTGTGGAAGAGGGCTACGTTCCATCACCGTGAATGGTAGTGTTTATTCAATTTCAGTCAGAGACAAGCCGCCGTATCGCGATCGGACCAGGTCTACCCCGAAGCAGTTGCGCGCACCTTTGATTTAGACAACGGTTGATTGGGGTTTAATCAAATTGGCGTTTTCAATAAGGATGATGGCTTTATACGGTTTTGTATTTTTCGTTTTTCTTTGCCCTCGAGGGTGGGCACATACCCTCATCTATACATATTCATGTATACATTTATCTGTAATTTTTCTCCACACGCATTTGGGACTGGGACGGTCGGGTGTTTCAACTGGTATATTGACACTGATATAGAACATTAGAGTCGCACATCAGCGTACCATTAATGACTACTTAGAGATATAAAAAAAAAAATGGACTAAAAGAATAAGAGGCTATATGTGCCTTGAACAAATGAGTACGTTTGATCTGCTCCAATCTGTATACGTATTATACTGTGTAGCGTTGCTATCGACATCGATATAACTGTACAATGCTGCGTCTTATACATTTCTGTAGAGCTCTAGTAGCTGAGGCCTTGTACCGGGTTTGTAATTCATCCTTTCTCGTTCTATTTCTTTCTTTCTTTCTTTTCTTTTCTTTTTTTTAATTCATAATACTCACTTCCAAGGATAAAAATAAATTGTTGTATCCTGGGGAAAGCAAAAGACTACAATTTGGACTGGTGGCACATATATGTTGGAGTAGCAGACGATGGAGTGGATGACGATTGTCGGGGAACCTCACTTTTACCTCCTCTTTCACTGCACCAAACAGTCCTCCAAACATTTATCATTTCCCACCTCTCAGTTTGTCGCAATCAAGTCACGCGGGGTTTCTGAAAAATTGCCATACAAGGTAGTAGTTGACATCGTTCATTTCAGGTGTTACTGTTGGCTTTGTTATTGTGGCACAAGGTCAGTCGGCCATTCGTTCATTGATTCACTTATTCCCCATCCCCTCTAATCATCTTAATATTTGGGTGTATCCTATACTAAAAAGACATACCAGGTTCCTTGCGCCTGACAGACTATTGCTGTCTCATCAAACTAATTGCCTCGATTGAGCTGCCTTTGCTTTTCTGCATCAATCAGCACTTCTACAGAGCATAGTTCCGCGCAACGCGTCTTATCTCACTCTATAGCTGTGACAAAGATTGAGATCCTTTGACACTCAGGTGGCAGGCCGCTTTACTGCCACGGTTCCAAGTACTAGTGGTTGTGCAGCCTCCTCGCGTTTGGCACCAGGGATCACTGATCACCATACATTATACGCGTCGTTTATCTCTTCCACTGTTACTACTATTATCTCTGTCACGACTCTATCACTAGTCGCGTGTTCTTGAATCTACAGGGCAAGCTCTTGCGAATATCTGCTAAAGCTTGTTGCACGATTGAGGTCGCGTCGCGTATTGGGATCACGCAGTCTTATGTGGATAAACCTGCATCCTCATCGGTAGTATATTTGGCTACCTGGCCACCTGTGAGGCTCAGTGACAAACAGCTGTTGCGAGTTGTGGAAATTCCTATTTGTTGTGGTTGCTGGTGAGCGTTGCGTCATTCGCGGTCTGGCAGCGCTTTTTTTCCCGGCAAAAGGAAGTGCACGCGTTGTCAATCAACTTCCCGCCTCCGTCGCGACCTTCTCCACCACTTCTTCCCTCACCCACATCCACCTCGACCTGTCCACCACCGCTTCCATTGCAAACCTTTGATTCACGCGAACTTCGGGTGGAGCTGTTTCTGATATACATTTTATTGAGCTTTGTCGCGCACCATGGCTGAGGATACCCCTACTGCCTCGGCACCTGCCCCCGAAGCCGTTGAGTCGGTCGAGCGCGCCCCTGCTGAACCCAAGGAATCCACGCCAGAGGTAACCAAGGAGAAGGAGGAGACGACCAATGGATCGGAAGAGAAGCGTTCGGGTAAGCGCCGCCCAAATGTTCTCTCATTTACCCCCTTCCTGGGCTCCGATCCCATAAATGGAGGTTGTTGATGAAACTCGTCTGCTAACCTGTGTTGCTTGATTTGTCTTAGAAGATGCAACCGCCACCGAAGAGAAAAAGGAGTCTGATGAAAAGCCCACTGAGAAGCCCAGCGCGTCCGAATCTACTGATGCGAAGAAGCCTGAAGAGAGTGCTGCACCTGCAGAGTCAGAGGCTGCCCCTGCCCCGGAGGCTAACGGAACCCCCGCGTCGGCTAAGAAATCCGGAGGCTCAAAGCGCAAATCTACTGGCACCGTGCCCGAGCACAAGTCGAAGTTGAATCGGAAGAAGTCGCAAGCTCGCATCACTAATCTGCACGCGAAGCCAGGCGAGTACTACCTAGCGCGCCTTCGCAGCTACCCACCATGGCCGTCTATCATCTGCGATGAGGAGATGCTCCCCAAGACTCTTCTGGACACGCGCCCGGTGACCGCTCAGCGCTCAGATGGCACCTACAGGGAAGATTACGCCGAAGGCGGCAAGCGTGCTCACGAGAGGACCTTCCCCGTGATGTTTTTTGAAACGAATGAATTGTAAGTAATATGTTCCTCGCTCCATCTTTCTCGTGGATGTGTCAGCTGATGACAACTATAGTGCCTGGATTCCTAACACGGATTTGACACCGCTCGAACCCGCTGCATGCAAGGAGGTGTCGGAGAAGGGCAAGTCGAAACTGCTTTTGGCGGCGTATTCCGTGGCTGCTGATGGTCACGACCTTCAGCACTTCAAGACCCTGTTGGCCGACCACCAGCGTGCGATCGAACAGGAAGAAGAAGAGCG